TATATATATAATTCACTTCTCCTTGGAAAAATTAGAGCTATAAAATCTTGTCAAAAGAAGGGGCATATACGAATGAAATAGTGACGTTGATAGGTATATACTGATTTAATACTTTATAATCAATATGCAATTATAATTATTGTTGTTGATATCTTCATTTTAAGGGACATCTCTTTCTAACAAAGTTTTCTGCCTTAACTCAAATAAAGTCCTAAAAAATGAGCTGCTTTTCATAATTGCTGAATAATAAGCTGTTATCGATTCGGCTGATGTAAAAAGGCGGTTAGCGTACCATATATTTGTCACAGAAGCACATATATTTAATCACCACTCTACTGAATTTCTTTAGTAAAACGGTGCCATAGTTGCAATTACTCACGTTTATGATGATCGTAAACGTATGATTATTCACTGTTCCGACGTCGAAACCTGCCAAAGTTACTGAAGACGGCTTGTATAATTGTCTGTGGAGGCGTCAGGAACCGTAACGAGAACGCTCGATTATTTTTACTGGTCCATTCTTAGTGATGTATGCATGGCAATAAAAGAGGAATATCTATTTGAACAATTAATCAGTGATAAATTAAGTAAAAAATTCATCCACAGCTGCTTTCACGCGCTTATGTTCGACGAGGGTTTGGAGAAGTTTGTTTCTTCCGTGGGTGTAGATGGAAAGTGCAAATTTACTGAGAACGCATATTATCTGACAATATCGAGCTGCGTGCTGTTTCTACTATGGGCTTCGCGTGTGACACTGGCAAAAAATTTTTTTTCTTATTACATTTTAAAATGGAACTGTATACTCCTTAATCCAGCCTCAAACTACAGGCCATATGCTGAAATTAGCACATCTGTACCCTAACGCAACTACTTTGCTTCTAATGCGGTCAGTTAGCCAGGTTTTTAGGTTCTATATTTGCCTTGATTCCTTTAGGCTCGATATCACTCTTTTTTTTTTCTTTCATGTTTGACAGCTTGAACCAGCCGAATGAGGGAGTTACACATGCCGCTGTACTGATGACAAAGATGACCGCGTAGATTCGGTAGCTAGAGTTGTAAATTCAATAGCCACT